GGAATGGAGAATCTCGTATAACGAATATAAACCGTACGACAAGTACCGTCGTAACCTCGTAACGTGCTATCTTGGTTCCCATCATTTCCCTCTATTTCTCTCTCCTCTCGTCTACAGAGCGATTCATAGAAAACGATCGGATAAACCGATCCGCCGCGAGATGAGATGAGGGAATCCTCCGCGAGGCGAAGGTTCGGCAAAATGGCAGGTCGCCATAGTTGTAAGCGATGGCGTAGTTGGCTTCTTACCTTGACCGGCAAACAGGCGGTGATCTTTAGAAAGATCTGCCGTACGTCGCCCTCGCCTTCGAAAATCGGCACGGAGACGCGGTCCTTCACGAGACACAGCCGACACAAGTCCAGATAATCAAGGGAGGACATTTTATCCCGTAAAACGCCAGCTCGAGACGCAAAGCCGCGCCCGTGCACGCGTACGCCGTTTGCAACGAATCCGAAGAGGGGAAGCGCGCTCGTTGTCGTTCGCTACGCGTCGCTCGTTCAGCGCGCTTCGGCCCCGTCCGTCGCGTCTCGGCAGCGCTCGGGTCGCCTCGGCGAGTGTCGGGACGGCTCGGCGGCCGCGTCCGCGTACGTATCGATCGGCTTCGACCAAAGCCAACCGCCTTCACACACGACAGTCCCGGAACGATGCGAAGCTTCTTTTCTTGAATTGTATCGCAAATCGATGCCGGGACGGTGCGATTTCTTCGAAACTGCCCTCTGTCAATCGCTGAAATCGAAGATCCGACGATTTCGAATCGCGAAATATCGAGGGAGCGCGATACGCGAGAGAAAAAACTGACATTTAGAAATTATTTCGCGATTTTAATTCGAGCACGCATACACGAGCACGATTGCACGAGAGTACGGAGATCCTTTTGTAAGAGAGCAAGACTGTTTGTACGGGACTGGATCCGTAATTTCACTTTTTCTACACGCCGGATTGATTGATCGGGCAGATGGCTGGAAAAGGTCGTCCGAGTGCATGCTATGAAGTTTTCATGCTCAATTACTCCCACTTTAGTTACACGTTCAACGACGCATGATCAACCATCTAACGCGTCTATCGGCAAACAACCGAGACCGGTACGGAAAATGTTGACATGTTCATTATTTGACCGTTTAATCTGTAATGATGCAAATTATGCACATTGTATTTACTTGAGCATTTTTTTTCGCGTATAAACTATTAATCAGTCATTCGGACATTAAATTATAAAGGATTATATACAGGATATTCCAGGTCAGGTCAATGAAACTTCAGAGTCTTATAGGAAATTGAATTTGGAACAAAAATGCTCCGATAAACATAGATCCGGAAACGCTTCGTTAAAAATTTATAGCTAATAAATTCTCTGTAATTCAGTTATGATCAAAATTTATTAAGAATATTTTTATGTTTGCATTTGCGATGTACGCACTACGAATATGTAGTGTTTACACAAAGACCATCGAAAAAGGTTTTTTCAAGTTTCTGCTTTTTTCGTTGTTTTGAGCTTATTTTCTTTTGAACGCCTTATTAGAATTAAATAAAATTGATGTCATTTAGTTTGTTATTTAATTAAATTATTTTTTTAAATCATCAAAAAACGTGATTTTTCAAAGTTAATTAGCTATAATTTTTTAATAAATATTTTAATTTTAAAACTAAATTTTTTTGTTCTAAATTCAATTTCCTATAAGACCCTGCAGTTTCATTGACCTGACCTGGAACACCCTGTATAAAAAATAAGCTCGTTGTAAATGTAGGATTTTAATTAAGTGTAACAAATGTACTTATAATTGGTCTGAAGAAATTTAGAAGTGAATCAATATATAATATCAATATATAATAATCTGCAACAGATATATCTTTGAACATTTTACGTTGAAGAGAAAATTTTTTGTTCAATATCTTATTTTCAGGTAGAGCTAAATTGAAATTTATGATACGGCACTAATGTGCGAAATAAGAATAAAACAGATCAAGAAGAAAAGAAGAGATGTAATATCATATCTCTTTGTCTCTCGTTGCGACTTCAAATGCTTTCATACGAAACTCACATTGTCGTCTCGAAGAATCAAACCTTAATCTATTTTCTTTTGGTACAAAAACGATCTAAATACGGAGAGAAAGAGGGAATGACTGATGGAAATAGTTTCCACTTAAAAAAATGTAATTGTCTATAATTCATTTATCTGATTTTAGTACAATTTGTGATTCGATCATATGTGTAAAACCGACTTTATTCCATCGTAGAAAATATCAATGACCTCTGATGTTCTTTCTTACGGCCGCATTGGCTGCGTTTTTAATGATGCTGTAAATAAAAAGGCATTTCTTCTCTCCATTACATTAAACTTTTTATTATTTTTCTTCTTGTTCAATTTTTGAATTACTAATATGTTTTATTATAAATGATAAAAAAGAGAATCATATTTTTATCAATATACCTAATAATTTTCACTTCTGTTTCTTTATACAGGAAAAATTTGTATACAATCTTTATTTTAAAAAATTATATAAAATTCAAAAGATTATTGAAATACTTAATAAAATATCTCAATATACGTCTCGTAGACTACTGTAAAATTAATACCATGAAAAATTATCATTCTTACGTATCATAAAAGAGATAAACTGCCATATAAATAGGAGAAGAAAATACTGCGACTGTAGATAAAAAAAACTGCTTTATTGTGGCAGAGCACATGTATCATATTATATACCAGCATATATATATTTATATATATATATAATAGGAAGAGTCCATAATAATTTACAAATTACGATCCATTTAAATGTCGTTACACATGGCGGTGTGTGCAGGCAGGGGATTTGAGAACCGATTCCGACCAATCTCTTTTTTATTTTGTTCATACTCTCCCTCAAACTTTTAAATGTCAAACTTCGCGTCTCGATCATGAGTGGCTTCCTGAAGGCCCTTGAAGGATACGCTATTTATAATACATGAAAACAAGAGATATGTAGTCTCCTTTCTTTCAGTTATTTCATCGAAACATGTGGCCATATTTATTCGAGGAACATTGTGTATATCTTTCCTTCCATCTTACAATATTGTTATTAATATCGCAAATCATAATTTCCGCATGTATTAAAAGTCGATTGTTTTCTTTCTGTCGACACATCCTTAAAAGTATTTCTTCTTTCTTGAAAGAAATAGGCGATCAAATTCTCTATTTGTTGAATAATTCGGTCGAATAAAATTTATTGGATGCAATCTTTTTCACGATAAAATTGTTTTACATTCATCAATGTTATCGGAAGATATAGCCGATGAATTATCGTAAATAGAATAATAGAAGCATGAACTGTTATAAATTTTGATGATACAATGTCCGAATACACTTCTGCATGTACTTATTTTATATATATAAACTTTTTATTTTTTACCGCGATTTAAAAACGCGCAATTGATAAATCGATTAAGATCACGATAAAGTTGCATTATTTCGATGCTTGTAATTAATTAATTAATTAATCGACTAATTAGTTTGTTAAATTTGTAACTATGTGTACTTACATTTTACGCTATTATAATAATAGCAAAATTGCGTGAGTGTTTGAAACTTTTTTTTTTTAATTCCATATCTCTGTGATTATTTCGTAATGTAAATTTACACAGCTATTACAAGTATTATTGTTATATTTGTGTAAGATAACATTAATAGTAGACTCCTCGTGTCCGTTACCTACTTAATACAAAGTTAAAAATGCACAAAGTTTAAATCTTTCTTTAAATCTGCGAATGTGTGTGTATATATATATATATATATATATGTGTGTGTGTGTGTGTGTGTGTGTATTCCACTGAGTGTATGTACGTGCATATTTACATATGCACGTTACATGTGCACAAAGCACATGGTTGATTTACATCTGGCACTTGCCTGTGCTGTTGCTCCTCTCTAAATTTTCCGGAAACCCAAATTAAAAGAACGAATCAAGAGCTCCACAATGGTACTAATATACATTATCGCACAAACACCGCATCAATACAACTTACATGTTACGATATAGAAGTAGTAAATTATATCGTAAAACTTTTCGATCAATAAAATGATTATTACAATATTAATAGTATTTTAATACTTTTTTCATATTTTTATATTTCTATCGGCAAAATGGCAGGTCGCCATAGTTGTAAGCGATGGCGTAGTTGGCTTCTTACCTTGACCGGCAAACAGGCGGTGATCTTTAGAAAGATCTGCCGTACGTCGCCCTCGCCTTCGAAAATCGGCACGGAGACGCGGTCCTTCACGAGACACAGCCGACACAAGTCGAGATAATCAAGGGAGGACATTTTATCCCGTAAAACGCCAGCTCGAGACGCAAAGCCGCGCCCGTGCACGCGTACGCCGTTTGCAACGAATCCGAAGAGGGGAAGCGCGCTCGTTGTCGTTCGCTACGCGTCGCTCGTTCAGCGCGCTTCGGCCCCGTCCGTCGCGTCTCGGCAGCGCTCGGGTCGCCTCGGCGAGTGTCGGGACGGCTCGGCGGCCGCGTCCGCGTACGTATCGATCGGCTTCGACCAAAGCCAACCGCCTTCACACACGACAGTCCCGGAACGATGCGAAGCTTCTTTTCTTGAATTGTATCGCAAATCGATGCCGGGACGGTGCGATTTCTTCGAAACTGCCCTCTGTCAATCGCTGAAATCGAAGATCCGACGATTTCGAATCGCGAAATATCGAGGGAGCGCGATACGCGAGAGAAAAAACTGACATTTAGAAATTATTTCGCGATTTTAATTCGAGCACGCATACACGAGCACGATTGCACGAGAGTACGGAGATCCTTTTGTAAGAGAGCAAGACTGTTTGTACGGGACTGGATCCGTAATTTCACTTTTTCTACACGCCGGATTGATTGATCGGGCAGATGGCTGGAAAAGGTCGTCCGAGTGCATGCTATGAAGTTTTCATGCTCAATTACTCCCACTTTAGTTACACGTTCAACGACGCATGATCAACCATCTAACGCGTCTATCGGCAAACAACCGAGACCGGTACGGAAAATGTTGACATGTTCATTATTTGACCGTTTAATCTGTAATGATGCAAATTATGCACATTGTATTTACTTGAGCATTTTTTTTCGCGTATAAACTATTAATCAGTCATTCGGACATTAAATTATAAAGGATTATATACAGGATATTCCAGGTCAGGTCAATGAAACTTCAGAGTCTTATAGGAAATTGAATTTGGAACAAAAATGCTCCGATAAACATAGATCCGGAAACGCTTCGTTAAAAATTTATAGCTAATAAATTCTCTGTAATTCAGTTATGATCAAAATTTATTAAGAATATTTTTATGTTTGCATTTGCGATGTACGCACTACGAATATGTAGTGTTTACACAAAGACCATCGAAAAAGGTTTTTTCAAGTTTCTGCTTTTTTCGTTGTTTTGAGCTTATTTTCTTTTGAACGCCTTATTAGAATTAAATAAAATTGATGTCATTTAGTTTGTTATTTAATTAAATTATTTTTTTAAATCATCAAAAAACGTGATTTTTCAAAGTTAATTAGCTATAATTTTTTAATAAATATTTTAATTTTAAAACTAAATTTTTTTGTTCTAAATTCAATTTCCTATAAGACCCTGCAGTTTCATTGACTTGACCTGGAACACCCTGTATAAAAAATAAGCTCGTTGTAAATGTAGGATTTTAATTAAGTGTAACAAATGTACTTATAATTGGTCTGAAGAAATTTAGAAGTGAATCAATATATAATATCAATATATAATAATCTGCAACAGATATATCTTTGAACATTTTACGTTGAAGAGAAAATTTTTTGTTCAATATCTTATTTTCAGGTAGAGCTAAATTGAAATTTATGATACGGCACTAATGTGCGAAATAAGAATAAAACAGATCAAGAAGAAAAGAAGAGATGTAATATCATATCTCTTTGTCTCTCGTTGCGACTTCAAATGCTTTCATACGAAACTCACATTGTCATCTCGAAGAATCAAACCTTAATCTA